ATTGATGGGCTTTTCCCGGAGCGAGGAAGACCTGGGGGGGGGGTCTGCCTATGTTGGGGGCCAGGGGGGTTTTGCGGCCCCGGGAAGGGCTCGGCCGCGGGGTGGGAAGTGCCACCGTGTTGTTGCTGAGCCTCCAGCAGACCTCGGGAGTTGGTGGCCTCTTCCCATCGGCCTGTCCACCCGGCCGAGGGGGGCATTGGGCAGCCCCCATGCACCAGAGACTTCGGTGTGTGCTTAATATATAGCCTCGTGGAACCTGGGGTTTTTTTTTTTAAAGAAACCTTTCTAGAACCCTGTGCCTCTGGATTGTAATGACTGTAAATATTTGTTTGGAGGGAGGTGAGTGAGGGAAAACCCTTTGTTTCGGTTGTTTGTTCTGTGGCGATCCTTTTTCTTTACCTGGGGGGGTGCGACCGCTGCCACTTCCTCGGGGAAGAGCGAGAGGTATCAGCTCCATGCTTTTAAATAAAAGATCAGCCCCTTTCCCCCGAGCTGGATGGGCCCGAAGCATCTCTGAGCACCTCTTGGCAGCGACAGAGGACAGGCTAGTGGCAGCGGCCTTTCCAGCGTCCGAGGCTTCGCCGCCCGGTCCATCTCTCCGCGGCTATCGGGGGTGATCGCTGCTTGTGTAACACAGGTACCTGTTCTAACAGGAACCGCACTGAAACATTTTTCTCCTCCCCAATCCTCTCGCCGTTCATGTTATGTATTACCAACCGACTGTCAGAAGGTAATAACTTTGTGTGTGCAGATCTGGACTTGTTAGCTACAGAAAATGGCTTTAAACCCCACTAGGGCAGTAGGTTAGGGGTGGTTTTGCGAGTCCTGTTGAATCTGGTCATACAAATATGCTTCAGGGGAGAGTGGCTGGGCTTTGTTTTAACCTAAAGTAAAATCCAGCCCGAGGAAGGTGTTTCAGCTTTTCTGTGATAAATGGCAAAGCAGGACCTCATCCCACGTCTCCTCTCAGACTTTCACTTTGCGTTTTATATACAGCTGGTGTTTATTTAAGAAAAAAATAATAATAAATAAACAGGAAAGGGCCAATTGACTGTGCGTATCTCCTGGAAACTCAGCCGACTATCAGTGCCTTTGATACTGGGCTCTGTATGGCTGGCTATTGTTTCCGCTCAGTATGTGCTGTACGTTTTTGTTCGTGCTGTCTGGTAGAAGGTGCGAGCTCAGGCTGGCTTCAGGGGCGCGAGGGAGCCGCGCTTGGAGCTGGGAGCAGGACGGCAGGGAAGAGGGACCCTAACCCTGTGAATTGTTTGCTGCTCGAGCAGCCATGATGCACGCTCGGCGTGCCGCCTCAGCCAGCCAGGCCTGCCCTTACTGTTGTGCTTTATACAAGAGGTCTTAACAGCTGCTTATTTCAGGGTAGGTCCACATACTAATTTCTGCGGTGCTTGGGAGCTGTGAACCTCTGTGTGCGTCGGTAAACAGAGTAGAAAACACCTCCCCACACTCCTTCCTTTAAAAAAAAAAAAGGGGGGGGAAAAGAAAAAAAAAAAGAAAAAAAA